ATTTATGTCTGAATTCTCAATTCTGTTCCATTGGTCTATGTATCTGTTGTTGTACCAGTACCAAGCTGTTTTGACTACTATCAGTGCCGCCTTCTTTCTATTATCCCTCCCTCTTTACTATTGTTTTCTTCTCTTGATCTGAATTTCCACCCATGATTCACTTTTATTTGGCTTCTTTTACTGACGTGTTAGCTACCAGAGCAGAGAAAAGCTCATTCTGCCTAAGCATCCACCTCTAGAACTATAAATAGTTCATTTTTACCTCATAAGCCATCAACTAGCCAGCCTATTTTTACCCCCTGATCCTTTGGAAACAGATCAAGGATGAGCCCAGAAGTAGTAAGGTGAACCTCATACCCAACACTCACCTAATGTTTGAATCAGATAAAGGCCTATTGGCTTTGCTTAAACCAAAATTAATTTTTTAATGGATTATGATGAATTTTTGGCAAATGCCCTGTTTTTAACTATATTACAGATCAAGCCATTTAAAGAAGGTGACACTGGGGTGATGTGCCTCATGTATACTGCTAAGAAAAATGACAATTCTGTAAGTACTAGAGAGTCTTGGGTGGTATTTAAGCAATCTTCTCAATCAACATACTTACTGAACACCTGCTTGTGTGGGTGCTTTGGAGGAGACAGGAAAATTAGAGAGGTGGTATAGCATGGGAATTATTCTCACTTAGACAGGGATTCAGCTCCCAGTGCTTGCTATGTGACCTTGGACAAGTTATTTACTTAAATTTCTTTTTCTGTAATAATGCCACTTACCTCATATAAATGAAATTAAAAATGTAAAGCAGCAATTCAGTAAATTTTCAAAGTGCTAAATATGTATTATAGGAGTTGAGAGAAGGGCCGTTATGCACTGTGATTATCAGGGAAGGCTTTTTCAGAGACATGGTGAATTTTGTTGCACAGAGAAAAGGAAGATGGGAAGAATTTCCATACAGGAAAGATAATGTTCATAAAACACAGGGCCGGAATATGGAAGAAAGTTTTCAGGGGTCAGCTGATGAAGCTGATCAAGCTAGCAAGATGAGAAGATTTAAGTAGAGAAGTTGTAAGATTGGAAAAGTTGGTTGAGGCCAGATTGCAGTAGGCATTGAATGTCAAACTAAAGAGTTAGGATTTTGCCCTGTAAATGATAGAAACTTTGAAGATTTTTAGTTAGGGAAATGTGGGATGATGAAAGTAGTATTAGTGGTATTTAGTTTCTCAACAGTAATGTGGAGAATAACCTTTAGTAGGGAGATAATACCATCAGTTAGGAGTGCTGGTGGTACAGTGGTTAAGTGCTAGACTGCTAACTGAAAGGTCAGCAGGTGGAACCCACCAGCTTTTCCGTGGGAGAAAGATGTGGCAGTCTGCTTCCATAAAGATTTACAGCCTTGGACACCGTATGGGGCAGTTCTACTCTGTCCTACGGTGCCACTGTGAGTAGAAATCAACTCAGTGGCAATTGGTTTATATCATCAATTAGTAGGTTGTTTTAATAGTCAGGTGTGAAGGGATAAGGAATTGAATTAGGGTGAGGGTAGTGAAAATAAGAAGCGATGTGTTCAATAAATATTAAACCAAAAAACCCCATTGCCGTCGAATCGATTCAGACTCATAGTGACCCTACAGGACAGAGTAGGACTGCCTCACAGGGTTTCCAAGGCTGTAATCTTTATGGGAGCAGACTGCCACATCTTTCTTCCATGGAGCAGCTGATAGGTTTGAACCACCAACTTTTCAGTCAGTAGCCAAGTGCTTAACCACTGTGCAGCCAGGGCTCCTTTCAATAAGTATTATAAAGGAAAAATAAACTGGACTTTGTGACTGATTGGGCATGGAGGACAAGAGATAAGTAAGAATCAAATATAGCCTTGAACAAGGGTGACAGGATTAACAAATAGACAGAAAGGAAAGCTGACTTTGGTTAGAAGAGAAGTATTAAATATCTTGAGGTGATACTGGGACTTCGAAGTGGACATGTCCCATGAGCATTTGGAAGTAGGGGGCTGTGTTCAAAAGAGAGAAGTCAGGGAGTCTCGTATACAGAAGGTGATAATTGAAGCCATAAGATTGGCTGGGTTCACCATTTGTGACAGCATAGAAATAGAAGTACAGAGCACCATGGACTATAGGCTTGGAGATTGCCCACATTTAGGGAAGTAGGGAGAAGAAATGGGGCCAGAATGGTAGAAAATAAGGAATATCAAAGAAGTACAAGAACCATTTAATTTATTCATCCAACAAATTTCACCACTATTTGTTATGTACCTGATAGATGGAAGGCCAACTAGACATTATAGCCACAAGAGTGTAGTATCACAGAAGTCAAGAGAAGAGAGGGCTTCAAGCTAGAGGAATTGGTTAGCAGTATAAACTTGTACACAGAGAGTGGGACATGTCCATTATATTGAGTAAACAGAAGGTCATTAGTAACTTCTAAAAAGTGATAGCTTCAATGGCGGGGGGGTTGTGGAATATTAAAAACCAGATAAGAGAGAATTGTGGTGTGAGATGCTGATAAGAAATGGAGACAGCATGTAGATCACCTTTTGTATGTCTGGCAATGAAAGGAAGAGGAGAAATAGGAAAGCGGTTAGACAAGGAAGCAGAGTCAAGCAAAAGATTTCCTTTTCCTTATCTGTTTTATTATTTTAGTTGCCTTAAGGTTTCATTCTCTTTCTTTCATATCCTTAATAGCAGTTCAGCAATTCATTTCATAAACTTACTGGTTTGATAGTTGCCTGTACATTTCATAGAACAGTAATAATAATAGCTACCATTTATTAAGCATTTATTACGTGCTAGGCATTGTGCTAAGTGCTTTGCATGCATTCTATTCATTATACCATTTAATCCTCACAATGCAATGTTACAGCCACTCAAACACTTGTAAGCATGTAGAGGCTAAGAAATTGCCTAAGATTTCATTGCTAATGAGTAGCAGAGATGGGGAATTTAGACCTAGCTCTTAGTCTACCAAATACCAAACTAAACCAGTGGCCATCAAGTTGATGCTCACGGCAACCCCATGTGTGCAGAGTAGAACTTCACTCCATAGGGTTTTCAAGGCTGTCACCTTTCAGAAGCAGATCACCAGACATTTCTTCTGAGGCACCTCTGGGTGTATTCAGACCACCAACCTCTCAGCTAGTAGTCAAGCACTTACTCATTTGTACCACCCAGGGTCTCCTGCTCTTACTCTAATGCTCTTCTAAAGGACCATGCTATACTGTCCCTGAAGGTAGGGCCAGCATCTGGGGCATGTGACCTGTGTAATCTCCCAGAGTCCTGTACTTAGAAGGGCTGCTATGCTTGGTTCAGTGCTGTGTTGTTGCCGTCTTGAAATTCTTAATAATTTTTTAACAGGAGGCTCTGCATTTTCATTTTGCATTGAGCCCTGCAAATTAAATCCTGGTCCCACTTGAAGCTATCAATATTACCCCCTGAAGCTGGGAAAGTAGTCATGTTGTATCCTTTGTTTTAGTTAAACCCATTGCCATCGAGTCGATTCTGACTCATAGCAACCCTCCAGGACAGAGTAGAACTGCCCCATAAGGTTTCCAGGGAGAGGCTGGTGGTTTCAAACTGCCAACCTTTTGGTTAGCAGCCGTAGCTTTTAACCACTACGCCACCAAGGTTTCCCTATTTACTACAGTTGTCTTAAATGCTTATGTTCTACTCTTGCCTTTGTTGCCCACTCTATCCTTCACCTACCCACCTCCTGGCCTTTTTCATATTATCTCTCATTTTTGGCTTCCTACTTGAAATCGACAACAAATTAAGTCTCTCTGATTTTCATGATTATTGCTCTCTCAAAAACAACTTTTACTCACCCTCTTGCTCCTCCTACTTCTGGTCTCTCTGAGTAATCATTTGACCAAGTCCTGACACCACTTGACACTAGATGACTACTTGATCAAGTCCTAACACCAGCCAACCTGGATTCCTTTGTGTTGTTTTCTCCCATTACCTATTTTATCCATGTTCAGTGTGCTTGTTCTCATGTTCTACTCCCAACATGGACCAAGTGAGCCTAAGAATTCGTGAGATTAAAAATATGAAGAGAGTGCTCGCTTCAGAAGCACATATACTAAAATTGGAATGATACAGTGATTAGCATGGTCCTGTACAAGGATGACATGCAAAAATATGAAGTAATTTAGGGTATAACCTATGGCATACTTCACAAAATAAAGTTTAGACATCCAGGCATTCTCCACGGTCTCCTATTTGTACTGTTGGTACAGTCTCCATAAAGCCCTGTTGCAGTTATCTATTGCTATGTAACAAATTACCCCAAAATGTATCAGCTTAAAACAACAAACCTCTCTATTTATGTTTAAGACTCAGTTCTAACGTTATCTTGACTTGCTTTTAATGAAGCATTTCTTAACTTGCTTTTAATGAATTAGTATCCTTCCTCTCTGATCTTCCTTTGTACTTTAACATCCCTTATTGTAGTACTTACCACAGTATTACAGTTGCTAGGAACTCTGTCTTTTTCATTTTCATATTGTCAATCCCTAAAACCATTCCTTAAACATAATAAATGCTTAGTAAATGGTTGTTGAATCAGCTTTAGAATAGCTAATATCTTTATATACTTTTTATTCTTTAGAAAACTTAGGTAAGTAGCTGGCCTTGTGTCCTATGATAAATATATCCTTCTTCATCTCTCCATCTAGAGGCTTGTGTACCATTGTTGTTGAAGGTTAAAATGTAAAGAAACCACCGGATATGTCAAAGAGTACTTGACTTGCCAAGTTATCTACTCCAGTGAGGATATGAACTTCTCTTCTCTCTGCTCATCCCTACTCTAAGTCTCTAGTCTATAAAATTCAATAACAAAGGTCAACATTGGTTCACTATTCAAATATTTGACTATAAATGTGATGAAGGCAGAATCTGTGCCTGGCTTATTCACTGTTAATAAACAAGTTTAGTCCCAATACCAAGCACTAGTAGATGCTTAATAAATATTTGATGAATGAATTAATGAAACTCCATTCTTGATACTCATGTCTCATTCCTGTTATCCAGGTCCTGACCTCTGGTCACTCATAATATTTGGACTGAATTCATCATTTCAGATGGCCCAGAATTTTTGTCTTGATCATTGACTCTTCTCTTTTGGTTCCTTATCATAGCTGACCTTTATGAATTTCACCCCCTGCTTATTCAGAACTAGGGTACCTCTTTGTCTCTTGTTCTTCCTAACTAATGATATTGGCCAGATGCCCTTCAGAGAATATCCCTTACCTATAGTCAGAAACATCCAGCATACCATTAAATTTGTTTAAAAATATTTTAACTGAAAAGAATTGCATTCTAATTTCTAAAAAAAATGGTCAGGCCCTTTAAGAAGCAAGTTGTGGGCAGAAACCAGGGTTTAAAATTTTGTGAGTCCGTTAGACTGATTAAAGTGTCAGCAATTCAATGCAAATTAATTTTTATACCAACCAGTGAATCAAAGAAGGGGAAAGAATTGAGTGAGTGTGTAAATATAGTTGCCAGGGATATACTTACTGACAGAAGAGAGAACCTCACAAGGAGTTTATACAGGCCCAAGGAAGCAATGTAACCTGATCTTTCTCTGTTCTCTTTCTGATGGGGGAATAAAGTGATGTAGTAACCATGGGTACAGAAAATGGTGACTTTAGACTTTTCAGGAGACCTGAAGAGTAAGTTCTCCCTCTTGAAGAGGGACTGAGTAGTAGAGTTCTCCAGAGCAAATGATGACTATTTTAAGGCATTTCTGAGGAACCTTCTATAAGTGCAGAGCTTCTCTGAATCCATCTCTGAAATATAGTATTAATTCATTCCAAAAAAAACAAAAACCCATTGCTGTTGAGTCGATTTCGACTCATAGCAACCCTGTAGGACAGAGTAGACCTGCCCCATAGGGTTTCCAAGGCTATAATCTTTATGGAAGCAGACTGCCACATCTTTCTCCCACAATTCATTCATTCATTCCACAAATATTTATTCAGCACCTCCTTTTATTTCTTTTTATTGTACTTTAGGTAGAAGTTTACAGAGCAAATAATTAGTTTCTCATTAAACAGTTAATACACAGATTGTCTTGTGACATTGGTTGCCAACCCTGAAATGTGTGAACACTCTCCCCTTCTCCACCCTGGGTTCCCTGTTTCCATTCGTCCAGTTTTCCTGTCCCTTCCTGCCTTTTCGTCTTTGCTTTTGGACTGGTGTGCCCATTAATCTAGCATACACGATTGAACTACGAAGCATGTTCCTCACATGTGTTATTATTGGCCCTATAGACCTGTCTAATCTTTGGCTGAATGGTGAACCTCAGGAGTGACTTCAGTACTGAGTTAAAAGGGTGTCCAGGGGGCATACTCTTGGGGTTTCTCCAGTGTCTGTCAGACCAGCAAGCCTGGTTTGTTTTTGTTTTTGTTTTTTTTTTGAATTTTGTTCTACATTTTTCTCCTGCTCTGTCTGGGACCCTCTATTGTGATCCCTGCCAGAGCAGTCACCAGTACTTTCCTAATGCATCACTGCCTAGAAAGCAATATGATTATAACAGGCTTATAATTATTTGAAAGTACTGTATCATACCTAGGAGGTGTTCTTTAAATTTTGCTCTAAATTTTTTTGAGTATAGAATGATATAGACTTAGTTAAATATTTAATACTTTTTAAAAAAATAAAACTGTATTTCTGTGGAAAAAGCATAAGCACAAATGTATCTTGTGCCATATTCTTAGGTTAATAGCTCCTCAGGAAAATATGTGACTGATCCATAAATCCACACCTTAAGGTAGATGTTCATCTTGTGACAGTGTCATTTCAATTGTAGATGTAGTACTAGTGAAGGGAAAATCCACCTCCTTGATGGCTGACATCAGAAGACACTCTTCTTATTTTAGCTGTAAATGGTGGATTACTTGAGGTCTAAAATTTGGGCTGTAAAATGCCTTTGGATTGAAGTATAGAACACTGTCTCATATCCAAGGCCTACCATTCAGCATCTCTTTTTCTTTTCACTTATTAACTGTTACCTTCTTCTTTAAGTCTTCATGCTCCGATCTTCTTGTATGCAATGGGAATGATTATAGATCTACCTCAAAATCATAGAATACAATGAGTTAATACATGTAAGGTGGCACGTAGTAAGCGCTATTGTGCTTTACCTTCTGTTATTTCCTGTGAGCTCCTAGATCACTAGATTCGATTCCGCTTGAAGGAAGAGAAAGTTAAAATTTATAGAAATATAATAACTTCTCTGTCAGTTTGTCATACTGTGGTGGCTTGTGTGTTGCTATGATGCTGGAAGCTATGCCACTGACATTTCAGATACCAGCAGGGCCACCCATGATAGACAGGGTTCAGCAGAGCTTCCAGACTAAGACAGACTGGGAAGAAGGACCTGGCAGTCTGCTTCTGAAAAAAATGGCCAGTGAAAACCTCATGAACAGCAGCGGAACACTGTCTGATAGAGTGTCAGAAGATGAGTCCCTCAGGTTGGAAGTCACTCAAAATACGACTGGGGAAAAGCTGCCTCCTCAAAGTCGAGCCAACCTTAAAGATATTGATGGAGTAAAGCTTTCAGGATCTTCATTTGCTTAAGTGGTATGACTCAAAATGAGAAAAAACAGTGGCAAACATCCATTAATAATTGGAATGTGGAACATATGAAGTATGAATCTAGGAAAATTTGAGTCATCAAAAATGAAATGGAATGCATAAAGATCAATATCCTAGGCATGAGTGAGCTGAAATGGACTGGTATTGGCTGTTTTGAATTGGACAGTCATATGGTCTACTATGCAAGGAATGACAAATTGAAGAGAAATGGCATTGCATTCATTGTCAAAAAGAACATTTCAACTATACACCACTGTCAGTGATAGGATAATATCCCTTACAACCTAGTCATTCCTTCAACAAACATTTTTTAAGCTTCTCTACTCTATCCATGCTAGTTGCTGGGTATACAAAAATAAATAGAACACAATCCTGGCACCCCAGAGCCTTCTAAAAGAAGACAGACTTAGAAACATTAATTATGGCACTATAATTAGTTTCACAATGGAAGTATGAACAAAATGTTTTGAAAGCTTAGAGGAGGGATCACTAAACTCTGCTTAGAAATGTTAGGAAAAGTATTCTGGAGAAAGTGGCATTTGAGATGATGATTAAAGGATAAGGAGGAACATCCTGGGCAGGCAGTGCATCCCAGAAAGAAGGAGCAGTGTGTGCAAAGGTGAGGTGTCTGTGTGTATGAGAGAGAGAGCATAGTATATCTGGGAAAATCCAAATAATCTGGACATAATATATGAGTAGGATAGTGACAGAAATGAGGCTGAAAATACACTGGGGTCATTTCACAGAAGACTTGGTTTGCCTTGCTGAGCAATTTGGACTTATGTTGGAGGCCATGGGGAGCTATTGAAGCACTTTAGAAGTAACATGACCAGATCTGCCTTTTAGAAAGATCTCATCAGCAATGTGGAAGGTGATTTGGAAGATGATACCAGAGACAGAATCATTCAGTTAGAATGGAGTCTCTAATCCAACTTCCCGTATGTTGTTGTGTGCCATCAAGTCGATTCTGACTCATAGCGACCCTATAGGACAGAGTAGAACTGCCTCATAGGGTTTCCTGGGCTGTAATCTTTACAGGAAGGAGCCCGGTGGTGCAATAGTTACGTGCTCTGCTATAGCAGTGCGAACGCACCCAGTGGCTCCATGGGAGAAAAGACCTAGCAATCTCCTTCTGTAAAGATTACAGCCTAGAAAACTGTATGGGGCAGTTCTACGCTGTCACATTGGGTCGCTAGGAGTCAGAAATTGATTCGACAGCACCTAACAACACAACAACAATCTTTACAGAATCGGATCACCAGGTCTTTTCTCCTGCAGAGCAGCTGGTAGATTCCAACTACTGACCTTTTGGTTACCAGCCTAGTGCTTAACCATTGCACCACCAGGGCTCCTGTACTTCTCATATATTGCCAGTATTTTTACTATTGAATATGTTTGTTTGTTTACTCAACCCACATTTATTGACGACATGTCGGGTACTGGGCGAACTGCTGGAAGTAAAGAGAGAAACACATCATCCACGTCTTGGAGTTGCTTGCATTTGTTGTTTCATTTGTCCTAAAACAAAAACTTTCTTGCATTTTAAGCTTTCCTTGTCTAT